TCCGTCCCCCTCCCTTTTGCGGGCCCCCCCCCCCCCGCCGGCTCTAACCAGCCAGCTTAGCCCACGCTGAAACGCCAACACATGCCTTAACACGTCTTGCAGGCACAGGACCTCACCCTGCCCAAACGCCAACCCTCTGCACTGCGGTGCGTGGATGCGCCGGTGCTCGCAGCTCAAGTGCACAGCAGCGTTTGCTACCCAAGCCAAACCTACAGAGATAAACTGTTGCATCCCTCAGCCCCCATTTTATCTACCTTACCTAATCTTAGACATGATCCAAAACCTCTACTGCCATCTACCTTTCTCTTCCCTTCAGGACTTTTTGCGAGAAGCGTTTTTCTCTGCAGCTTCACCTGGCTTGGCTGTGCAGCCTGGGCACCCTGCTCAGCGGACGGCCCTGCGAAACGCTGCCTCTCAGCAGGCTGCTCGCCCCCTCCTGCCACCCTGCCGGGCCCCAGCCTCCCGTCACCGCAGGAGCACGCGCAATGGCCAGCCAGGCAAATGCTACAAGGGATGGTGGGACAGGGGAACCCCCACTGTGGTTACACCGAGGTTGGACGTGGGACTGAGGGCAGGCAAGAAGATGCTCTGGGATGTCCTGGTGTGGCAGAGACCAGGCGCAGGAAGGTCCACAAGTCACGAGCCACATTCGGCTTCGTTTCCAATCCCTCAGCCTCAGCATCAATGATGCTCCAGGTTAAGAACAAGGCAGCCCAGGCAGTACCAGTGCTACACACAGCCCGTCGAGGGCCAGTGGCTCACTGAATACGGATCTCACCACTGTCCCATCTGTCAGTCCCATCTGGTACACCCAAGGGATGGGAGTGTCCCATGGGAGACCCCTATTGATGTGGGTTTGGGGGTCCGGTGGAGGACCCCCTCCGCCTCACGGTGCCCGCGGCAGCACAGGGAGAGCCCACACCCAGCAAAGCTGTAGAAAAGGAAACTGTCCCATTTAATGACCCCTCGCCCCCATAACACAGACGCGAGCGCACCGCCGACATGCGGCAAAGCAAAGTGCACAGTGAGCGGGACTCAGCCCCCACCCCAGAGGTGGCGGGGGGGCTTGGGGTGCCTGGCGCAGCACAGGGACCAGCCAGGCACCTGGTCAGCAGCAAGGACAGAGAGAGCCCCGGGCTCGGTCCAGTTGGCACCAGTGTCAGGTCCAGTTTGCAGGGAGGTACGGCTCTCGTTCGGCTCCGTGTGGCGCAGGGAAGGCAGGGGGCAAGGTCAAGTGTACCAGGACGGAGGCCAGAGAAGGTGGGTCTGGGGGACAGGTCCTGGAGAACGCCGCCATGGCAGGTTTGGAGCCTCCCTGCCCGAACCACCGTTTAAAGCAGGGGAAGGGAATAGAGAAGGGGCTGGAGGCTGAGCGGCCAGGTGAGGACCCTCAGGTCTATCTAGCTATTCCCATTTGCAAGATATCCAGTGGTGGGGGGGTGTGGGATCTGCCAAGCACCCCAAAACGGGAGTGAGCCTTGGCGACAGACGTTTACCAGCAGCTCCACGTCTCTGACAGTCTCTCCCAGGCGCGGCTCAGGCACCCCCGTGCCAGGAAGGGGGTCCAAGGGAGCGGGGGCCTCCCCTCATTATCTGATGGAAGCGTCGCTGAGGAGGTCGCGGTCGGACTCCTCGCTCTCCTCGTTCGGGGCCGACTCGCTGTTGGAGGCCGGGGTGAAGGCAGGAGACTTTCTGCAGAGAAGAGTAAAGGGCAGCGGTCACAGCACTGCCCAGGGGGAGGGAAAGGACCCAGTTTGGTGTGGGCAGGGGGCACCAGAGCAAGGAGGAGAGAAGCTGAAGTGCCCCTCTCGCTCCCCTGGGACACGCGTGCGTCCACGGCAATCCTTGGGTGCTGAGGAGCGTGTCCCAGAGGACACCAGCTTAGAGGTCCAGAGCATGAAGCAGGGCTGTCTATGCCGGAGGAGCCTGCCCAGAGCAGGACCCTGCCAAGGCATGTGAGGCTCGGGGTCAGTGAAAGCCCCCCCCAGAGGTCCCCAGCCTGGAGCCACCCTGGCTCCACACGCCTGTGGGGACCTGTACAGTGTCCCTGCACAACAGCAGCTCCTCTCTCCATCGGGGGTGTCCGGCTTCACCTGTCAAAACTGACTCCTGTGCGCAGCCCACCTTCTGCAGAGGTGGTACCACGACCTGTGTGGAGGCTGGTCACCAGGAGCCCAATAGCCTCTGGGAACTGCCCTCTCTCCATGCCACACCAGGGCCGGGCAGGAGTACCACCCCGTGCTTCAGCTCCCACTCACCACCACCCTGGCTCCAGTCCTTGCCCAGAACATGGGTATCCCGGCCTTCCCGCTGAAGCTCACCTGTCCCCAGACTGGGTGATGAGCCGCCGGCAAGTCTCCATCTGCACGTCCAAGCCTCGCTTCATGCTGCACATTTCCATGTACTCGTGCAGGTGCCGGTTCATGTCGTTCTTGGCTGTGGCCAGCTCCAGCTGCACAAAGGAGATGGTGCAGAGATGAGCCCGGGGCACGGTGCGGTGCAGGGCAGGGGGCACGGCCAGTCCTGAGGCTGCCACCCGCCATTACCAGCTACCTGCTCCAGCATGGTGCCTCCCTCTCCCAGGGACCCACTCCCCCATTTCACCCCCTTCTGTGCCATGCCCTCCCCACTTCCTCCTCCTCCCACCTCTATTTGGTCGATGGTTTCCTGGTACTCCTTCTCACGGCTCTTGAACAGCGACTCTGTGTCCTTGATCACTTTCTCCAGGCTGTCGTCCTGCTGGTGGGGAGAGTGGACGACATGTTTAGAGGCAGGGAGGTGTCCAACGTAAGGAACCAAAAGGCAAGAGAGAGAGAAATCAGAGAAAGAACTGGCAGCACTGGAAAAAAGAGGAAGAAACATAAGCAGTGTAGTATAAATAAGGCACGAGTCAGTCCTGCCAACACAGGGTAGAGAGACCCAGGACTCGCCACACCGGGCAGTGAGCACGTCAGCCCAGAACAAGCCTAGCAACGCACAGAAGCTTTGGAGAGCACAGACCGTCCCCAAGCGTGACACATCCCCAGGGCACTGCTGAGGACCAAAGATGCAGGATGGCGAGGGCTTTGGGCCAGACATCGACGCCTCTGTTTGGGCAGTGTTGCTGCACAGCGGGCAGGTGGGCTGAAAAGCCCAAGCAAGGGACCACCAGAGACCAGCCCAGGCAGAGGAGGTCCCTCCTGGGAGGTCTGTGGCTCTCCCCACATGTGTGGACCATGCCCTCAGCACATCTTTCAGGCTACAGGTCCCCGGTCTGTCTAACAAGGAGACCTTCACAAGGATGCGGTAACGTATTCACATAGAGAAGTCGTAGTGTAGTGGGGAAGCATCTGTACAGGCCTGCAAGGGATGGAGGGGCTGAAGTCTGGTCTTTGAGGGAGCATCTTGCCAGCCTCAGGCAGGACCGAGTGTCCCAACCCAGAGCTGGACCCCTGAGGGGACCTGACACCACCGTTACCTCCCCCTGCACCTCTGCAGCTGCAATGGCATATCCGGAGAAGTCCTCCCAGAGGAGCAGCGTTTCTTCTGTCTCCTCCCACGTGAGGCTGTCACAGTCATCCTCAAAGTCATATTCCCTCCTGGGAGCAAGGGAACAGCACGTCAGCACCCAGCAGGAAAACCCCAGCAGGCAGGGGGCCGCGTCAGTGCCGAAAGCCTTGTCCCCGTTCACAGGCAGGGCTGCAGCTCTTGGAGGTCTGGCCAGGGTGAGCTCAAGCGTGCCCAAACCCAACAGTTGATGGGGAAGGGACTGGCTTTATGGTCAGGAGTCCTGGCAAATTCAGGCAGGCACTCCCAAAAGGCAGAAAGGGGTCAAGAGGAGGGGAGCTGGACCAGCTCCCACCCACAGCACAGGTGGGCTCAGGTCTCCCAGGGGAGTCAGTCCCACCATGCCGCAGAGCACAGGATGTATGTACCCCACAGCAGCACCTCCCATCTCACCCTCCCCCTGGAAGAGGATCCACAGCCCACCCCTGCCCTCCCCATCCCAGGCACCAGCGGGGAGCCTGGTGCTGGAGCTTCGCTCAACACCGGCAGCAGAGGTGCGGAGCAACCGCACTCACAGCTGGTTCAGCATCCTCTGCATTTCCTCATTGATACTCATGGCTGTGGTCTCATCCTCCTCTTCCTCTTCAGGTTTTCGGGAGGCGTCGCTCTCTGACAGCGAGGTGTCTTCGTCGCTGACCTGCTTGCGCTCCCGCTTCCGCCCCACCGAGGCTGGGACCTTAACGGGAGACAAGTGCAGAGACTACAGAAACGAGGCCGGGTCCAAGGTCGGGAGCAGATAGTTGGGAGAAGATGGAGGGGAAAGGAATGGTGGAGGGACAGAAAGGTAAGAGAGAAAGAAAGAAAGAAAGAAAGGAAGGAAGGAAGGAAGAACAGCAAGAAAGAAAGAGAGAGACGGGCTCATTATGATCAGGTTTAAGATGGTGCAATGGATAAAACATGGTTTTAGCATTTTATGAAATTAAAACTAAGCAACTAAAGATGGAATCTATGAATCTGATGAGAAAAAACAATGTGGTTTTACTGCAGAAAAACTCAAATTGCCCACCACCCCAGTCCAGAGGGTGACACCACCCCAGTCCAGGGAAACACAGCGACAGAAACAGGAAAAAAGAGACAGTCTGAAAAAGGTGAAATATGTCAATATTTACAGTCCGACCTTACTTATAGAAAGTTTAAAATTTGTACACTTTCCCAACTGAATGGAACTAACCAGTTGTTTCTGTAGGGACAAAGAAAGCGAGACAGAAAGGCAGCGACATCCAGAAAGAGAAAAGAGACAGAGACAGAGAAGAGAGACAGAGAGAAGATGACGGAGAGGGGAAGGGGAAGGAGAGAGATGGAGTTAGAGACAGACACTCAAGCAACTCGTCTCCCTCCTGCAGCTGCTCCCCTACCACTGTGGGGTCCCCGGGCCCAAGACAACAGATCAGTGAGAGGTTGAGGGGACTCTCAATGCCCAAAGCAACATCTGGAGCTTTCCACCTCCTCTCTGTGCCCTTTTGTCTGGTCCTCCCGAGAGGGACAGAGAGCAAGGGACTGCAAGGAGCGAGGGTGAGGGTGACCAAGTGTCTCCCCTAGCAGAGGGCTGGTGTTGTCTCTTCTACCTCCTTCAGGAACTCTCTTCCCCAGAGCCGGCGGCCGAGCCTGGAGCAGCAGCAGGCACTTCTCACCTGAAACATCTTGATCATGTCCTCGCAGTTCCGCTGCTGCGCCACATCGCACAGCTTGGCAGTGATGTCGATGCGCCGGCAGATGTCCATGTCCACCTTCATGGCCTTCTCTTGAATCTTGGTGTCCAGCTCCGTGATGTTCTGAACCCACAGTGCCGCAGGAGGGGGAAAAAAGGAGGAAGATCAGGCAAGGCAAATGGCAATCGGAGCCCCCACATTCCCCACCCCTGTGCTGCAGGACTGCATCCGCATCCCCAGTTTGCTCACTGCAGCCTGGACCGACCCTGCCAGACCACCGCTGTGCTGGACGTGCCCCGCCAAGGAACTGCTTTTCTATGCAGCCCCACCGCTCGGGTAGGACACTGCTGCCGGGTTGGAGAGGGGTTAGGGACTCACATTACTCATCAGTCCCTTGAAGACAACAAGCTCTGCCTTGAGCTGCTCCACCTTCATGGCCAACTCCTCCTGGCAGGCTTCAGCCTCCTGGGCTTCCTGCCCCAGACAGAGGGAGATGTGCAAATCAGCATCAGCTGGGGTGCAGGGGAAGTGGGGGACAGCGATGCTCACCTCCTGCAGCTCAGTCACTCGGTCCTGAAGCTGGACACGCACCGTGTACTCCTCTTCCCATCTAGGGAGACAAACGCGCTGGTCAGATCCCACCGGCCTTGCCTCGCCAGCTGCCGGAGAGGAGGGAGCAGCAGCTGCTCACCCCAAAGCTATCCAAGAGGGGGTGATGACGGCACCAGGGCGGGAAGGAGAACGTGCCCAGGAATGCATTGCCGCTTGTTTCCAGACGACGACAGCTGCCAA